TACCATGATAAAATTTGAAGGTGCACCTTACCTCTACACCTACGGATGCATTAGTATGCAAACTGCACCTGATAAATGATTGATAGACATAAAACTTAAAATAAAAATTCTCGAATTGTATGACACACTCAAGCTATTGGATCTCACATCGGATGACTAAAGTTTATTGTGACCTTCTTGTATTAAAAATAAATGGTCCTATAATATACAATAAAAAATAAAATAACACATGAGAATAAAACTAATGCAAGGGGTTTCTTATGTGGAAAAAGTTTATATAAGTTGCAACCATAAAATGTAAAATTAAGGTATTTCTAATAAATCCATCGTAAAAAGTTGTTTTGAAGATGGAAAACTCTCTAATTAGATTATCTCGACATTGAGATGTATGAATATGAAAAAAGAAAGATTAAGTCTAAAAAATAGTGCATCTTTCAACATACTATCTAGACTGTCAATTTTCAAATTTTTCATGTGTTATAGATCTACTTGATTTGAATCACTTTTAGGATACAAAATTTAATAATTAGAGATGAAAGTGGATTCTCAAACCATCCAAACAAATTTCGACACCAAAATTATATCTCATATTAAAATTCCGTGGTGCACCTTATACAAGCCACACCCCCATTACACAACAAAGAAAAAAGTTTATATAAGGTTGCAACTTTAAAATGTAAAAATAATAATATACCTAAAAAATCTATCGAAAAAGGTTATTTTAATATTAAAAACCCTCTAATCGATCATCTTGACATCAAGATGTATGAATATAAAAAAAAAAAAATTAAGTTAAAAAAATAGTGTATCTTGCAACACATTATCTAGACTTTATATTTTCTAGATTTTCATATGTTTATAGATCTACTTGATTTTAACTATTTTTAAAATTTAAAATTTTATAATTAGATATGACAATAGATTTCCATATAATTCTAAAAACATTTTCCACTAAAATTACATGTTAACGATAAAAATTGGTGGTACGCTTTAATTGGATACTTTAATATTGCAACCTTATAGAAACCACATCCTTATGCAAAGCATAACACACCACGAAAATTTTAAGCCGTATTACTTGGTCATTTGTATCAAAAGTAAGGGCAATTTAATCATTTTCACATAGAGATTCTAAACGCCAAAGATTCTTCCGGTGGTGGTGCAAAAAGTGGCTTTCCGTCTAGTACGGTGGAAAAATATCTCGTGACTTGGCTTTTTCTTTTTTATCTATTTATTTATTTTTCATTTTACGCACGTGCCATTATTGTTTACCATAATTTTTAGCATTTTACGGGAGTTCAGGGAAAATATTTTGAAACTATAAGAGGCTCCGACAAAATGAGAGCATCCAGTTTACAAAATATTAACTACCAAGATTTCCATAAACATTCATTTAGCCCTTCGTTGAATATTTTCACATTTTCCCGTGCTAGTAAAATGTCAATTGTTTTTTTTTGACAATGTTATTAAAATTTATTAATAAAACATAGAGATTACATCATTAGAGATGATCAAAGAATGAAAGATAATACTTTTTTTAAGGAGAGTTTCTGCTATACACATGGTGAAAAGAAACCATCAAAGAAGCCGCCAAAATGCGGACATTGCTATTTCGTGTGTAAGTGATTTTCCATGGAAAAAGGTTTATTTCGATTTTTCTTTACTTAAAAAGCACATATAGCATGCTCGTGAGCATACTCCGCCTTGTGCACCATTTGATTAAAAATCAACCCATTAGGGGAGGATAATAGATGGACCCTACTTTCTAGAGAAAATATCGTATATATTTATTATATTTAGAATTATGATGGAATTACCACGAAGTTTATGTTATCATATGTGCATCAGCTTTTTCAACTTCATAACATTTTTTTTTTAAAAGATGGAACCGCCCTTTTCGATTTTTGAGAAATTGAAATGTTTAAATGTTTCGGTTTTTCAAATAATAGGAAAATCTACTTTTTCGGTATTTGAAAAATCGAACAGTAACCCAAATTGGTTTTTCAACAACTTAAATTGGGTTTCGTCCCTCAACAACTGGAAAAAATTATAATTTTCAGTTTTTGAAAAACCGAAGCATGATATTTTCAGTTTTTCAAAAACCAAAAACTATCTTTTATTTTCCAGTTTTTGAAAAAGAAAAAAATCCAAATTTTGTTATTTTAAAAAACCAAAAACACAATATTTTTAGTTTTCCAAAAATTGAAAATCTGTCTCTTTCGAGTAAGTTATGAAAGATAATTTTTGGTTATTGAAAAATCGAAAATATCTAATTTTCAGTTTTTTAAAAACCGAAAACATGACAATTTTAGTTTTTCAAAAACCGAAATTCCGTCTCTCTCCAGTAAATTTTCCAGCAAGTTACTAGAAGATGAAAAGTAGTTTTCGGTTTTTGAAAAATTGAAAATATCCAATTTTTAGTTTTTGAAAAATAGAAAACATGACAATCTCGGTTTTTCAAAAACCAAAAATCTATCTCTTTCCAGTAAATTTTCCATTAAGTTACTGAAAAATGAAAATTAGTTTTCGATTTTTGAAAACCGAATTGGGTTACTTTTTGGTTTTTCTAAAGACCAAAAAGCTTATCTTTCGGTTTTTGAAAAATCAAAATGCTTAAACATATGGTTATTTCAAAAACCGGATAGGGCAGTTCCATCTTCATAAATAAAGAAAAAACAGAAAATGAAACTTGCAACTTGCGTTGAGCAACATCATCATCATGATAGTATTTTTCCAACGTAGATATCATTAATTAATAAGTTTAGTAGAATTTAGAGCCTTGACAACCTCTAAATATCAAAAGAGCATTCAACCATGACTTATTGCAAATTTAGACATTAAAAAGAAAACTACTTTCTTTTAATAGGGAGAGAGTATAGCCAGTCGTCACTGCTGTGGTTTTCGAATCCAAATACACGTTGCTTTACTTCCAATTTATTATTGCATTGGTTGTTGCTTTGCCAACTTACCTACAATTTATTCACATTGGTTACCATCTATGCTGCCTCTAAACCATTTGATGATAATGAATTATATACCTCTTCTCACAAGGAACTTGCATAAAAACAGAGCCCAAATTGAAGTTGGGAAAGACCCAGCAATCAACCCTGGTAAATAATGTGTGTGAGCGAGAGAGAGAAGGAGAGAGAGAGGGGAATGAGTGTCATTTCCAATGGTTACTTGATTTGATCCATTATTGAAGTTTAAAAATTCTTAAATAGAGATGAAAATATATTATAAGGCCGTCCTAAGAAGTTTTTACACTAAAATTGCATCTTATAATAAAATTTGGAGGTACATCTTATTTGGATTGTTTAGGTCACAACCTTATACAAATCACACCCTTAAATAAAACAAATCTAAACAAGGTTAAAAAGTAGAGAAAAAATCGATTTTGAAAATTAAATTTATGACCATAGGGTATTTTAGAAATCATCTAAAAAAGAAGGAACTATAAAAATAAATATTCGTAGAAAAATACTTTTCAATCTTTATCAAATGATAGAAAATATATAAAAACACATTACAAATAAATTTCTTCTTTTTTAAAAGAAATTAATTATTTTTTTATAAATTTAATTCGGATTTAAATGGACCCCACCCATAGGCCGATTCCAAGTAACCCGGCCTTGTCCAATTCAACTCGGGCAGTTCATCTAATACTGGGAAAAACCTAACAATCAAATACAACAAAAAAACATGAGAGAGATAAGAGGGGGAATGAGGTTCATTGATGCATGTAGGAGTCACGTTCCCATTATTCCTCTCCGAAAGTTTGCCAAACA